TGGTACAGCTGAATGAGAGATTTCTTCCTGCCAATGAAGCTAATGTGTGCTGAGGAGCCGAAAAGCACTGTACAGCCGTTTTATTCTTTTTGGAACTCATCAACAGTGCGCATCTCAATATCCAATGAGTTTTCATTCGCCTTATGATCAGTGTTTCTCTAAGAAAACAAAACCTAATTTTATTGGGACCATCGCTGAGGAATCGTCGAAACTCGTGATTCGCGAACAGATTTGTGTTGATATCGTCTATGTAATGGACATTCTGTTGAATCTGAAGTACCTAAACCTGATACCTTGCCCAGACCCCTGGGACTAAGCTTTGTGAAGCGATTCTTTAAGAAATGTCCAACTAACAGTACGCTTGTATTTAACGTTAAAACACACATACAAGAACTATCCACAGCTGTACGATAGCATTTGAACGATCGTCTCACTTAAACGAACTCTAGGTTCTGATGGACAAAGAACGGATAATTTACTGTCCATTCTGAAAATCCTTGCTGGCGTAAAGCTCCGTCAATAAATACTCAGGTAGAAAAAATCCGAACAGGATGCGTATTCGGGTGGAATGCGGAGGAAAAACAGCTTCGGCCGTGCAAACACTTCACTTATCTCATTACACGTATTAGGATAAACGAGGAAGATATGACAGTTCTGGGAACGACTGTGTGGTTTCACTTCCCGGGTGACCATAGGTCAATGGAATGCCTCTTTTGTGCGCATGTAACCGTATTTCTGTGTGGCTTACTAACTTATCGGATTCAAATTAAGTTCGGCAGTGGAATATGCCGTCTTAGTGACGTTTGACGACGTACCTCCCATTTTGGATGCCCCTCGAAACGGTTATACCGGAAGGCCAGCAACGACCACAACCAAATCAACCTGACTGCGTGAGGTTCAAGGTAATTGGTTCGTGGCGCTTGCATGCCCATAAGATATCGTAGCGGATATGTTCTGAGTTGCGTCCGCAAATTCTAGGTTTCAGCACGAGACAAACTTCATGGCAATTCACGGATAACCGGAATCTGACTGCATTCTAACCTCTACTTTATGCGACCCGTGAGCCATCTAATCACCGCACCTTTGCATTCAGAAATNTTATGATCAGGGGAAGAGAAGGGTTCGTACCTACGTTTTAGGACGATCGAGTCCTCGTTGCATACTCGAGACTCCACTGTCATGTGTAATTAGCATGTCTTACGGGAAGTGGATTTCATTGATAGACGTTTCTCAAAGGCTACATTTCTTAAGCCATCTGATAGAAAAGAATATAGTATAATTATTCATGGTTGTGAGGAAGTGGCTTTTCTGAGGCTCTTCGGATTCGTTGCAGCTAACAGCTAACCAGACAGAAGTAGGTTTGTGCCTTCGAAGAAGATCCAGAATTCCGATATTCTGCAGTTAACAACTTCACCTACGTAAAGCAAGCTAGCTTATTGGGGTTCGTATTGACACTTAGTCCGCTGTTCCTCAGGTTCAGTGGGTTCCGTTCGGCTGTTAAACACTTAGCTAAGTGATTTCAGAAGCCTAGGTTTTTTCGTGGAACACTTGTGACTGCATGTCGCTTAGTTTGCATTCAATGGAGAAATAGACACCGGACAACTTGCGTAGTCCACCTAACCGTCGACAGTTGCAAGTCATGGGGCAGCTTGCATCGTTTTCCTTTATTATTGTTTTCTGTGTCGTGCGTGTGCATTTATCTGTCTGGGTCACCGTGCAGAAGTTCATGTGCCTTTTTTTGTCAGCCTGGCATAATTGCAAAACAAAGAGACTTTCAATTGAGTGCACAAAACGGTATGGTCTTTATCTCATTTGCCTGTCAATTGAGTGTGACTAGGTGGCCTAAGTCTGTGAAGCGGACTGAATCGATGCAGCTCTCTTCTAGGGGGCATTGTGTGCTATGATACTGCTTGTAGGCTATTCGTCCGACTTCCTAGTCAGGCCTGCCTTCAAGTGTTCCCCCATTAGACTTTGCTACTATGTGTCTGGGCTATTTCACGGCATTTGTTTTGTTTTTTCATATCACTGACAGTTCTTCACGTAGATCCCATACTACTTCGCCTGGGCTTCGATTTCAAGATGCGCAGTCTATTAAGACAAAGTGCGGCCAAATTTGAATACAAGGACAAGTCAAGCGTCCAAGCGCGTCCCCTCTGGGGTCGCGTTAGATCTTAGGGGCACCGGTTGAAATCGCTTCTGGAAACAGAGTTTACGTCTCCTCTGGTATGGCTGTATTATGGGAGTTTGAATTTATAGTTATGCAGCAAACTTACTCTTGATGTATTCACAGGGGCTTTTCGAATCCGAGAAGCTCTGCAGTGTGCAGTCTGTCTATCGCTACTTGAAGCATCCGTAATTACTTTGCGATCAGAATGCTTCTTTGGAGAGCAAATAAATAGTTCACAATATAATATGGCGTCTTGAATAAAACAGATTGAAAAGTGTACACAGCCGAGTGAAGTTTAAGAAAGACAGGTCGAATTTGTTGGAATCTCACTGTGCCCAACATAGAGGAAGAACAAAAGATAACCAGATTCGTAGATCAGTATTTATTGAGCAGCTTGGTGTGTGCCGTAAATGCATCGGGTACCGAGCGTGGGTTGAGTAGAACAAGAAAATAGGACATTGGCTTGCGTTCAAGCAGCTTCGGATAGGTCAGCAATGTAGTAAATAAGTATCCAGTAAAGTTGCTTATGAGGAATTCCGTCGTTTGAGCTTAACTGTGGTGTTTTAACTGCTTCTGTCTAGACTTGGTCGACCCGGCAGCATCTCAGTTCTCATGCTACCTTCGGGTAGCATGGCAGCTAGGCACCGAGTGGTACAGCTGAATGAGAGATTTCTTCCTGCCAATGAAGCTAATGTGTGCTGAGGAGCCGAAAAGCACTGTACAGCCGTTTTATTCTTTTTGGAACTCATCAACAGTGCGCATCTCAATATCCAATGAGTTTTCATTCGCCTTATGATCAGTGTTTCTCTAAGAAAACAAAACCTAATTTTATTGGGACCATCGCTGAGGAATCGTCGAAACTCGTGATTCGCGAACAGATTTGTGTTGATATCGTCTATGTAATGGACATTCTGTTGAATCTGAAGTACCTAAACCTGATACCTTGCCCAGACCCCTGGGACTAAGCTTTGTGAAGCGATTCTTTAAGAAATGTCCAACTAACAGTACGCTTGTATTTAACGTTAAAACACACATACAAGAACTATCCACAGCTGTACGATAGCATTTGAACGATCGTCTCACTTAAACGAACTCTAGGTTCTGATGGACAAAGAACGGATAATTTACTGTCCATTCTGAAAATCCTTGCTGGCGTAAAGCTCCGTCAATAAATACTCAGGTAGAAAAAATCCGAACAGGATGCGTATTCGGGTGGAATGCGGAGGAAAAACAGCTTCGGCCGTGCAAACACTTCACTTATCTCATTACACGTATTAGGATAAACGAGGAAGATATGACAGTTCTGGGAACGACTGTGTGGTTTCACTTCCCGGGTGACCATAGGTCAATGGAATGCCTCTTTTGTGCGCATGTAACCGTATTTCTGTGTGGCTTACTAACTTATCGGATTCAAATTAAGTTCGGCAGTGGAATATGCCGTCTTAGTGACGTTTGACGACGTACCTCCCATTTTGGATGCCCCTCGAAACGGTTATACCGGAAGGCCAGCAACGACCACAACCAAATCAACCTGACTGCGTGAGGTTCAAGGTAATTGGTTCGTGGCGCTTGCATGCCCATAAGATATCGTAGCGGATATGTTCTGAGTTGCGTCCGCAAATTCTAGGTTTCAGCACGAGACAAACTTCATGGCAATTCACGGATAACCGGAATCTGACTGCATTCTAACCTCTACTTTATGCGACCCGTGAGCCATCTAATCACCGCACCTTTGCATTCAGAAATAGGGAAAGCAAATGAGGCGTTATGATTTCATGATTTATTACCTTCCTGTTGGGTGGGTGGGGGCGAGCTGGCCCAATTGGTTAGACCGCGAATTCACTGACCGGAAGGACCGTGGTTTGAACCCGACCTCTGCCTCTCGACTTCCCCTGTCTAGGCTTGGGCAACTTGGCAGTATTCCATCCATCGTGCAACCAGTTGGGTGGATGGAGATGGGACCCGTGCCTCCTCTGTTCTAGTTGCACTTCATGCCCTTGTTTGACTAATGGACGTCTTTCATGACTCTTTATCCTATGTTCTTCAAGGTTTTTAATTCATTCCTAGAGGTGTAGAGTCATTTCATTTAAGCTACGTTGAATCCGGTCTGCTGTAGTGGGTGAGTTGTCCTTCGCTACCTAGACTGTCAGACGAGCTGAAAATTGGGGCATTATTGATCCACTTATTTTTATTGCTATTTCTTTCATCTCTTTGGGAAAATGGCTTTACAAATTTGGTTGCATACCCGGTAGCTGTCGATCTGTCCGCCGAGCATGGCAATTCGCATGCAGACGTTTCGTCACCAGTCAGCATGCGGTCCAGTGGGTACTTTCTGCTTGGATAGTTTTCAGAGATTAGTTGCTACCTTCTGATGTGACTGACTGATCGAGTAATAGCTTTGTTGTGATTTCAATGGTGGGCCTGCGATTTGTACTGCGTCTTGGTCTGGTTAGCTTGTATTGGATTGGCTCAATGGACGGCTTCCTTCTGGTAGGCTACATCGCAGTTCTGATCAACCTTTTCACAGGCTATGCTGCGTTGTGCTGTTTGTTTCTGACTTCATCCCAACGCTTCCTATATTCAGCAGTTCCCTTTCTGCCTTTTGGGTCGCCCCATTCCAAATTTGCGTTGAGCTGGGTTTACAAGCCTAACTGATGCTAGCAACAATCTAAGTTGCAAATCATTATAATTCCAGAGGTACTAACCTATGTTCTGAAGGTTTGTCATCGGATTATGCGCCTGTTAACCATTAACCTTATAGCTACGTATCTCCTTTTTCCCGAGACCCCGGCGTCAAATCTTTGCACTCCATCGTTTTTTTTTCGTTTTTTAGTCATCCGCCCAGGTTAGTCCTCGATCTTCCTCTGGGAGGACAAGACTGGTCAGGCTTTGCAGGAACCAATCCGCTTGGTCAAGATGTTGTATTCAAAGAGTCAGCAGCTAACGTAAACAATAAGCTGCGCACTCTTCGAGCTGATTTGCTTATCGGGACATCGGCTTTTGCAGAACGATCTCCTCCCACAAATCAGGCACAACCAGAACCGTTGCCATGGGATATAGCCGAATCTCGACTCCAAATCGATGACCCCGAACCGCACACTTGGGATGGTCACAACTCAGTCACGCTGCCGACGATTTCCGCTAGTATCAAAGCAACTATCGACCCGCGAGATATCTTTGTTGATGCTGTGCACAACTTTCATCCAAATTATCGGCATTATACTCAAGTGAGTGGTATGTAAAATTTCAGCGGCTACCAACTAGCTGTGACCTGATTTGCACTTAATCGTTTCTTCCTACTTTCTCAAGGCCTTCTCAGATAGTTTTTTTGATAGACCTACTTGAGTATTTCGTCGGTGTATTTCCCACACTCTGGTTCAATCCATGACCATTTATTGATTAGCTTCGCAATGGATATCGTTAATGCGGTTTTGTTCTGTTCTGTAGACCAAAATCGATGATTCTGGATGAACCAAACGGGCGCACACTAATCACTTGGCCCTAAGAAACGTTCGATCCGAGCTTCAATCACTTGAGTACTTTCAATTTACTTGCGTTTCGGCCGTATTCGCAAGTCACGGAGCGTGTGATAGCAGCTGTTGTATGCTTTCCTCGACTTTTGGTTATTTTATCTACCATTTTTTACGAGAAATAAATGTACCGTGAGATTGAGTTGACTGTCTTTTACAGCTCAATGGGCCTTTTTGACAACCTGAAGATTTCAAGACGCAAGCCTATGGTGAAAATGATGTAATTGTGTTGTAGTGCTTTAAGGCTTTCTAACCTAAATTGACTGTGGTGCTGTTCTTGAGGCTAATTTGCGTGATGGTACAAGATTGCACTAGTATTAGTTGTTCGGGTCCACTCGTGAACTTTTCTACATCTCGGAAGCATGATCCCGAATAAGGTGAAGAATCACTTCTGATGTAGACGGCAACTTCTTGACGGTGGACTTGATGCTCGGCAGAGCGTCGACCAAGTTCATTGATAAGACTACCGGGGCTAAACAACACACTATCAAATTATCGAATATTATTGATCACGAGCTTTTCAGCTTGGTTTTTACCACCGTACACTATTAAAGCGGAGTTCGTGGAAATCGCGTGCAATACCGCCATGGACATCCATTCTCGATTCGCAGCAAAGTAGGATACAAGTGGACATTAAATCTTGAACCAAGGGCGAATTGTCATCCACTCAACGTGCTTGATCTGTCATCATTCTCTTTCGTCTTGACTCGGCTGGCAATCTGCGGTCTCCGTGGGTTTCAAGCAGTTTTGTTTGTCTGTCGGAGCCGTTTCGTTCCTGAGAATAGACAGTCCCCGGTGGACATATATTTCTTCATGTGATGCCTACATATCGTCCATCCGTTTTAGCTTGGTGCTGGCCTGCTATTTCGTTATTACTGTAGAAGATTCACGACACTAAGTGTCTCGTATTTTTACGTTTTCGTTCCAGTGTGAAAAACTAGGAAAATTTATGAACTTGAACTGGTATAGTTGATCCGTTTACAGTAGTACTTTGTGTGAAACTTGAATACCCCCAAATAGAATAACGTGCAGCCAAACATCAGCCAGCTTCCCTGGACACATTTTCATGCCTCTGGTAGATTATCGACAGTGTTCAGGTAGCTGATAATCATAACCTTACTTGAGGTTAAATTTCAAGTTGAATCCCCCAACAGGTATGATGCAGACTCTCATCATTTCCCTGACCGCAAAAAACAGACGAGTTCGGTTTTCCCAACAGTAAATGCGCAAATTCACAATTCCTGAGCACACATGCATTCTGTTAGCTGACCGACTTACTTGTATGTTTTGGAGACGTACTGCTGAGGCACATAATCCTAGAATACTGTACCGTAGAAACTACGTCCTACGACACTTCATTCTTGGACAGTGCATCTAGGGACACAAAACTCGCTTGTCACTTCGCCTCCTGTGAGGCTTCATTTTGAGACATTTCATGCATGAAACACTTCATCCCGGTACTTCGAGGTATCTTACCTCCAAAGCTACTTTGTCCATTTGACGTACATTCCCCAAATATTTGGTCTGAGACTACAGAAATCCTTGAACTTGTTGCTTATAACAACGAGAACTTCGGATCACAATATTCAGTTTGTTTGCGCCGTGTGTTGGGATTCAATCTCTTCTCATATCTTTCATTTGGACACAAATACATGTACTCAAAACGTGAGGATGACTGCCACCGAAAAGCGAAACCTGATTTGTACAGTATTTTCAAAGTACAACATTACCTGCAGGCTCACCTTCGAAATCTACCTTAGTACCTTAAAATGCACTGATACCCTCCTCAGAACGTAGCACTTTGACCATCTGACTCCCATTAGAAATAACTACTATTTATGGGTCGTAGTGTTTTTTGTTACAAGCAACCATCCTGATAATATGTGCGAATGGCCGACAAAGGTACCTACTCTTTCGTCTTATTTTACATTGGATTTTGCTCCTGGATCGCAATAGCTCCAAGTCAAGGATCACATGTTCCTTTAGCGTATTTGTTGCCCTCCAGAATGTGGCGCGGCTAAATTCAGTAAAGTGGGCACTGGCTTTGGTTTGTCCTTCCGCGAATTTGTTCGTCAGATATAATCCCTTCTTGTTCAATTTGATGAACATACTCTGTAGGCTCCTTGTTCCTTGGTAAAGTACCAATAATTTAGGACGGACATCTTGTGTTTATCGACACTGCATGGAATTCAGTAAGAATGCATGACTAAATAAGTGATAGATACGCGCACCGATGGAATGCACACACGTCAAAGCAACGTGCACATCAACTTGCACACTAGTTGTGGCATGCAAGCCAAATGGTTACTATAAGTCTGTTTGTTTCTGTCACCATAGGTGTTGACTGGATTGAAAGCAAGGTATTATTTCAGATGAAGGTTTACTGGCTGGCACTTCGAAGTCTTTGACCATTGCTTGTGGATACGGCTGTGGTTCAATCTTCTCCAGAGGATGAACTAATTTGTTGTATTACCCAATATGCGTGGAAAGGCTCAAATCGAGTAGTCGGCGAATATACCATCCACAAGCCATTTGGAGAAAGCAACGTGGGGCTTCTAGCATCCCAAAAGAGCAGTGTGCTTTCTGATGGTCCACTGTCGTACAAGAAAAAGATTGCTTCGTCAATAAGCTCGCTAGTATGCAGTGGAATAGCCGGCACCGTTAGACTGAATTGGGTAGACAGTACAGTTGATTCTCAAACGTTGGCATCATTCTTCTTAGGCTTTCATGCTGTCTTCTAGTCGGTATTTTGCTGTGCAGCTTTTAAAGGCGTTTATATAACACTTTGTAGTCCTGCCATAGTCTACACCTCTCTCGTTCTAGTCTTTGAAACCCTCTCCATGTCTCCTAATACTTCTACGTCTCGGAGACAATTCCGTTCTACCACCACGGTTGTGCATACGAGCCTCATAGTATTTTCAAATGACTTTATTAACTGCTCCTGACTGATGCTAAGCTTTCGATAAACTCTTACATGCACAGCGAAACCGAGAGGTACTCAACGAGAGATTCAGATGACATTACAGCTATCACTGAGTGCGATACGCGGGAGGCATGTGATTTCATACTAGTTAGTAGTTTTTTCTAATAGCCCACATAACTAAACACACAGGAAAGCAAAGCAGAATCAGAGAACAGATAAACAGTGAAGTTGCCAGGATCCAATAATTAACACAGGGTCTTACTGTCCACGAGAGACCTCAAAAGGACGCTTGGGCGCGGAATATCGGAGAGCGGCTCAAGCATCCGGACATTCACGTCAGTTTGGCCCGTTCATTGGCGCATACATAGGTACGATTTACCCACTTGCCTTGACTGTGTTTACGAACTTGAAAAACACAATATGGGTCACTGCAACTCAGGTCTTTTGCCTCATGAGCTGACAACGAAAGTAGTTCGGGTCATGAGAAATAGATGCGTACAAGTTAAGCAATCGCCCACTGCAGGAACACTTTTGTTGGCGAACGCTGGAAGATATTCATAGAACCATGCAAAACCATACGTCTGGCTGATTTTTCTGTGTTGAAGCGACGGTTAGTCCAGAAATTCAGGGGAAATCTCGTGATTTATTAAGATACCCTATCAGATGTGATCACGACGACGAGGAATTCGCAAACAGCTTCGGATCTTTCCGGTTCATTGCTAGCGTTCCCGGCCACCCATCAGTATCTTCTGTTGAAAAGCAACTTGCTCCTTACTGGACCGGACAGTGATAAGCTTACCGGTGACAATAAATGACGCCATTCGCCTGGAACCAAAGGATTGATACACTTTAATTTCCGTTCAGCGTTTCAGAATACAGCCAGCAAATTCGGTATCTCTTGAATGAGCTGAAAGATAGCTAACTACCAGAACAATTAGTCTGTTTTGAGCTATCAATGGTGAGCACCTCATATAACCGTTCCGTACAATCTTCAGAGACCAGATGTTTCTTCCTAAACACAATACTGAACAGTAGCAGTTGATTTGAGGATATGAAGTAAACTTTATAATTACCGCTAAGTGCTCTCATCATAGAATAGCTACGCGGAGTAAAAACTACTGGGTAATTGTGGTATTTCCTGAGCAACCGTTGTTCTAGTTCCCGGGGAACACTGGAGCTGGGTACATATAGAGTTCTAATCCATACAAAGCAGAAATGGAGGAACTAACCACTCAAAGTCTAAATGATGATTATCCTCGTATGACAACTCCTCAGTTTGGCGAACAGAGCAAGCAAACTGATCAACAATCACTTATCAAGGTTATGATATCCAGGTGATTTCTCTGGGATTTTCAAACAAAATTCTCGCAATGGAATATTAAACATAGTCATACCACATGCACACTGTTTACCATATGCATATTCTGTAAAGGAAAATGTCAGTAGCTCAGTTAGCGTAGATGGTCGTTGGCTTGTTCAATGAGCTGGGCAATTGGATTGCAAACGTTTCATCACCAAGCAAGGTGACATCATCAGTACGTTATTAGGGAGCGTGGTGGTGCGTAGCGGTGGGTTAGTGGTTGTGCACAACCACGCACGAATGAACGTGTCTGTAGTCGTGGTTCAATACCCGATTGTGTGCTTAGGCTCGTTCTCACAGAGTTTCCGATTCTCAAAAGATCCAAATTAGTTGTTCAGAGTGTTAGAAGGTAACCCACATGCAGTCTATTGAGCCTGTCATCTTTCATACCGTATTGGCCATTGAGTTTCTCAAGGTAAACCTCTGAACATGCAAAACAAACTTGTAGAGGCGACTTTCCATAACTAATTTCTAGACAATCAAAAAGAAAATTCCGTGTACGATACGAAAAGCGTGGATCCAAAAGTTCGATTTACTGAAGGAAAATGACTGTTAGTCATCCCACTGACCAACTTCAGGACCCGGTTGGCCGATATAGATAAAGCTATTTACCCAAATATACATGAAATTATCCTCGGTTGTGCAGTGCTGTGTGTTCTTGTTAGTATTTGCTTATTGCATTTTACGGCAAAGCAAAAAATGGTCATTATTGAATGGAATCGTTAGTCCGGTTCACTTCAGTTTTTCAACTCACGAACGGTGTATCGGGGTGCACTGTTTTCTGCTGCCACAACACCGTTCACCGACGATAAGAGAATGAGTGCCAGCTGTTGGAGGCGATGGCCCAGTATGTTCAGTGACAATGGATGGATCTGTTTTTTCAGTATGTCAAGCAGTGAGAGCAACGCAGTGGAGGTGACAGTATTGGACCGAGATTGCCATTGGCTGCTTGACACAGCCTATCTCTCAGGGTAACTAATAAGTTTGTCTCGTTCTGCGGTCTCCATCCCAAGAGACAGCATTTACCAACGCGAGTGATTTGAGTGGTGAGGACTTTCATGCCCAGCCTTGAGCTGAATGCCCCCGGGTCTTTTTCATTCAGCACAAGGCTCAGGGTAGAAGTTTCTACAAGGCAAACGGTCCTTTGGCATACGAAGTATATAACTTAAGTAGTGTAACCTTTGCAGTGCGACCAGCTATTCTACCAAGCGAGGGCTGACTTTCCGGAAAACCATTCTACGTACCTCAGCCTTATTAGTTTGGTGTTCTAACCAAACCGGTGTGATGCTTCGGAGACATCTGTGGTCAAACACAGGGAGAATTCAAAGTTTGTTCCGCACGTAGTGGCCACGTCGCTGATCCATATAGTAGAACAGCCAAGACCGTGTTACTGTACACTATATCCATGACATTCAGAGCTGACGTTACTTCGGCGCCACAAATATCGGAGGCTGACAAACGCTGTCACTACCTTCCCAATTCAGGAATAATGTCATCTTTCGCCAGACCAGTGAGAGCTTTGCGGCTGCACACACACTTCATTATCCACCACACTGATCGGTGCATCTGCAAGCATGCGGTTTGGGCATTATCCACTCAGCAGCGCTTTACACTTTACAGGTGCATGCCAAGCAGTGTAGCGGAATCATTTAGCTTATTTAACTTAGTTCGCGTTTCCAAAGGGTCTGGTCCAAGAAGAGCAATATCATCGGCACACTCAATGTCCATGAGCGAACGCCCACAAATTATCTGTCGCTGGGGTGGTAAAGGCAGGTAAATAAGGTACAATCAGCAATTGGATTACGAAGTTAGAGAGAAAAAGCGTCGGAGAACGCCTATTCCCGACATGACTAGATGCGATGAACACGTACGCGTCTACGGCATGGTGCATACACAGACCTTATAAGAGACAGTAATTTAGATGAGACATGCTTTATCGACAGATACTGTTCTGGCTGCTGACTAGAAACGGAGTAAAAATAATATCTGAGTTCAAGAATTCCGCTCATTCTTGGTGGCCAGAAGGAGTGGTGCCGCTTCAGTACATGTCTCAAATGAGGGAAAATGCAATGTAATTCTCGTGAATATGACTACATCGACGATGGATCGACCTTCGCAAGAAAACACCAGTGAGAACGTTAGCAGCGGCGGCCGCCAGACCCCTGCCTCTCTGGCTATCGCAAAACGTCCGTGAAACTTCGCTGAAAGTAGAAATCGCCGTCGAGATGCGCCACTCTGTTGGTATTCTTTCCTCATTCCAGATACTTCGGAGTAACCTTCAGGATGGCTACACGAAACCCACCACCCTCATTGAAGATTGCAGGATGCAAGCCATCTGAACTAAGTGCTTTGTTGTGCTGAAGCATTGAGATTGCACCACAAGCTTTCATTGCCGATGGCGGACTGGCATCCAACTCCTACTTGAATTCATTTGGTCCCTCCAGAGGTTGAGTTGATGGCGTTCAGCTGGACTGTCCTTCAAATGTTTCAGCCCATCGCTGAAGACGACGTTTCAGTCAGTGGAGTGAGGTCTCATCTTTTCTGGAGATTGTCTCACTACCCTCTGCCCTCCTCGGAGTAGTCGATCTGGTTAGCTGGAACAGGGTTCGATGGTTTCCTATGTAAAGCCTTCCTCCATTTCTTGGGTTTTTGGGTCCACCAGAGCTCTTTATCAATCATTCGATTATCATTTACTCGGCTTGCGATGGATCTGCACGCACCATCATGAATGTTTATGGCTGGTATACTCTTCCTAGGCTCAGTCAAAGCTGTTAATCGTGAAAAGATCTATTATTCATTGGAATGTGCGATTGACTTCAAACAGACGAGGTCTGTGAGCATGATTTCTTGCACCTTCCTCCAGTCATCGTCCAAATTACACATATCCCCGCTGAGTTCTAGGAGCTTCTGACCGAACTCGATCGGACATTGTTCAGCTACAAGTACGGTTAGTAGGCAGATAATTGAATGCCTTTGTATCAGCCGACGTGTCCAGCAGCGAAAGCGATGCGTGTGCCTGCACCAAACCGTGATTAGAGTCTAAAATGAACGACAGTCTTGTATCGAAGCTCTTCAACTGCCACACGATCCCAATGAGTCCACGGCTGACTTGGAGTTGCGTGGTGTGAACACGTGCGCTGGCTAGAGACAAATTATTTTCAGCACAAAATTG